CTAACCCTAACCCTAACCCTAACCCTAACCCTAACCCTAACCCTAACCCTAACCCTAACCCTAACCCTAACCCTAACCCTAACCCTAACCCTAACCCTAACCCTAACCCTAACCCTAACCCTAACCCTAACCCTAACACGCCTACGGACGCCGTGATACACATGTGTTTTCAAGTTCTTAGCCGACTGAAGAAGGAGGCTGAAGTCACCACGGAGGGGTGTGGCTAGCAGCGTGAGATCCAGTTCACCTCGTACAGGCACAGCTTCACAAATAGCCCCCCACAGGATCTAGGCTGACGACATTAGCTTCGGCACCGCGCTGGATGGGGTTGTAAATCCTGGCTCCTGGCGGCTTCGGAGGTAGGTATTGGATTCAACGGACCGCAGATTGCAGGCCAGATCTTTGGCGCCGGAATCACGTATCTGCAGGTTCTGATGCCTCCTGGCCAGAAGCCCCTGGTAGCGGAGGCTTACGCGTAGGGTGTACGGGTGGTATTCCACAGATCTACTCGATGGTGTTTACGGGTGCAGCTCTGATTCTGGCTTGCTTTTTCAAATGAGAAGTGTAGCTCTATTTAGATCCTCTTCGATCCTCTTGACAGTACGCACCTCTTCGATTCTGTTCGAACCCTTTTAGTTTCTCCTTGATTAGACATAACAAAGTTGACCACAGCTTTCCAGGCGCCATACAGCACCACCTTATTGAGAAATCAATAAGCCTTGTCATACCAACAGACGCGGAAGCGATTATGACACAGTATCAGACTTAGAATGCAATAGTGTATCATGGCCATATCTCCGAGAGGAAATGGACAGGATTACCTACCTACCTAGGGTAAGAAAATACGAATAATTCATATGATCGACGTAGATGCGTTGGCTATTTTATTTGGGCCAAGTCCAGGAATAGTTCATTGACAGCGGCTATAAGTCATGGCCGAAGGACTCGAATGCAATCGTTCTGAAATAGCAAGGAGAGCGACTAAAGGTCAGGGTTGACCAAACTATCTGATAGTGTAGTCCCGATTTCAAGCCACAACCGACGCATGAATCAAAACACAGTTTCCCTCGCCGCTGGACCACGCCAAGCTACGCTTCTGTGCCCGGCTGGGGTGATTCTCGCTTTCCAGAAAGCCTACTTTAGGTACCTAGGTAAATAGCAACAAACCCCCGTGTAAAAGACCAGTATGATTAGCATTGTTATTCTTCAGCCTCTACATCCAACTCCTCGTAGTAGCGATAGACGCCATAATTGGAATATTTCTGACGACGATCACTAGCGAGGTACTCGGCAATGCGCGGCCGTGCCTTGACTGCCTCGTAGTGCTGGAAGACGCGGTCGTACTTGCCAGACTTCCTCGCAGCCGCGACAGCTGTGCGAAAGAAGTAGGTAGTGCCATCAAGAGTCTGAAAAGCGTCTGCTGTTAGCGTCGTAATCTATCATGAGTATACGGGGCAGTAAAGACACTGGGGTTTACCTGGAAGAAGACCAAGTCGGCCCACGTGAGAACACCACCGTACAGCCACGGTCCCTCGCCACTCGCCTTACCAGCGAGGACACGCTCGAAGTAGCCGAGATACTTGGGAAGACGATTCTTTACCCAATCTTTGACTCGGCGTAGGCATTCTTCCTTCTGCTCTTCGTAATATAGATCGATAGCGATGGGGTGGTGACAATTGTGTACCTCGTTGCTCAGGCCGTCCAAGCGGTCAGGGCAAGAGCATTAATTTTAAAGATGTCGTTGCCCTCGTTAGCCGCCAGACCGAGTCTGGGACCTAGATACATCAAGATGTTGGGCGTTTGTGAAATGACCAGGTCGCCATGTTTAAGGATGGGGGGAGCGAAAGGTGGAGGGTTCTTGTCATCGCCGGTATTGTGCTCGCTGATATGGGCATGCAAGGTATCCATGCCACCCTCAGTAAAGGCGGTATCGGAGTAGGGGACGCCAGCTTCGACGAAGCAGAGCCGCATGTGCTCGCCACGGCCTGGAATAACATGCCAGTATATAAGATCGTAAGGGGCGTCCTGGTTGGGGTCTGCGTGTGCTTCTGCCATGGCCGAATGATCTCTAACGAATTGCAATGGGGACGTCGTGTGCGAATATCGCCGACAAGGAAATATATGACAGAGTTTCCGTGGTCCCATCCCATTTATGCCCGCGCCGAGCGCAGGCTGCCCCTCACCGGCAGACCGGTTACCCCTTACATGCAACCTGTGTTACACGACACGACACAGCCGTCAATTGCCTAGGTAGGGCAGGCCGGCCTGTTGGTTACCTTATCCTTCATGTGAGACAGACAATCCTACAGCAACTTGGACTGGAATATGTAGCTGAGTACCTACGGTACATATCTGAATAAGGTACCTACCTATCTTCCTACATACCAGGTACCTAACCTACCTGGTAGATACCGACCTACCTGACCTAGGTATCTATATAGAAGGTTGGTACAGTCGGTGAACATTGCACCCAACTCTTCTCCTCTCTGTAGAATTCGTCTCGTCTTTGATATCCCATCGTCGTCAAGACCTCATTCAACATTCTAGGTGTCGACTTAAATTCTTGAATTCAATTTTTCTCGATTATGGCTGAAAGTCCTGACCTCAATGGTCCAGTCCTGTCGCCGCCCGATGGCATCGAGTCTAACCTAGACAACCCACCAAACCGCAATGCTCTGGTCATTGGATTCACCTCATTCTTTCTTGCCATATCATTGATATTCCTCTTAGTTCGCGCCTACGCGAGACTCTTTTACGCGAAGAATACGCAAGCACTTGGAGACTGTAAGCCTGATTTCCGTAGCGGCCGCTTATAACTCAGCTAACTAAGCGACAGCATTGATAATTCCTGCAATAGTAAGAATCGCGGGAACGGATGTATTTAGTCGCCAATCTAATGCTTTCTCCTCTCGTAGGGGACTTACATTGCTGCATGCATCATCGTCTTCCGTATAGCTATCACCTCGGGGTTTTTCGTCCACGGCTGGGACTTTCGACTGAAAGATCTAGCATGGTTCTACTACGTCAGCTTATTTTGCTCTCGACCGGCTGCTAGGCCGCCATTATGCTGACCTGAGCTGTTCTATAGAATCTCTTTCTCGGCACTCAACTATATCTCGCCACCATGATAACGTTGAAGTCAACCATTCTCCTCGAATGGGCTCGGATTTTTGGGCCGGGTAGCCGCAAAGCATTTCGCTGGTCGTGCTATATCATCGCCGCATTGAATGCGATCTACTATACTATAAATATCATCCTCGAGTGCACGGCATGCACCCCACGGGAGTATTATTGGGACAAGACAATCCCTGGTGGTACTTGTAGATACTCGGCCATCCTATCTCTAATATCTGCCATTGTCAATCTCGTCTTCGACGTCGCTATCCTTATCCTGCCACAGGGAGTTATCTGGCGTCTGAACATGTCCCGGAGGAAGAAAGTTGGCTGCTCCGTCGTCTTCATTATTGGCCATCTGTAGGTTGACCTCTTTTCTATGCTCCCGTATCTTGCTTGAGTTTCGCGGTTTTTTGTAACCTAGTTCGACATGCTATACTTCTGGTCGCTCATGTGCACGACGCTACAGGGCCTGTGTTTGTGCGGCGCTCCGAATAGCCTTCTCTGTCGCATACGTATCGAGTGACGACTATACGTACCAACTATCACCGCAGACGATCCTATGTAATGCCGAAGTCGCCGCCGGCTTTTTGGTTTTCACCACGCCTGCTACCCCGAAGCCGATACTTTATTTGACTCAGCAGGCTATGGGGTCGATGGATCGATTGATACGTTCCGCCAGGAGCGGCAGCCGGGGGACGGCAGCAGGCGTGGAGAGCGGATTCAATTCGCAGTCTAGACCTTTCAAGTCTTTGTTCTTTCGAAAGAAGTCGGGATCAAACTTGTACAACCCGATCGACGAGCGCAATGACTTGCAATTAAGTTCATGGAAGTATCCTGTGAGCGGTAATACCACTCATAGGTCAGATAGGCTGTAATAGCAATTGTGCTATTAAACTCATTAATAAATACACTTTTGGCTCAGCAGTGTGTCTTTGACAGATCCGCGTGTGAGCAGCAAGGGCTCGTGATACCCTTTACGGAGTAATTGATATACGTATGGATTATGTTTGATAGGTACCTGTTACGGTAGTCTACAGTCAACTTCTAGCTAATCAAGACTTTTCTTCCTGTAGCCTGAGCCTTGCGGATCTATGGAAGTTTGTTCGTATCTAGGCACGTTTGTCTTCTGGTAAAGAATCGGGTGGCGGGACTTCATGGATGAGATCGGCCACTGTACATAAGTGGCACAATACAGACGCTCTGGAACCACGGCCTCGCATTCAGATCGAGGCGGCAAGGATTCATGATTGCTACCACCTTAATACCTTAGGTAGATACCTAACCTAAGAGGCTGTTTGGGACAATAAGTATTGAAATACTTATGGGGGGTAAGCATAAGTATCAGCAATGCGTTTGAGGGTATTGCTTAACTTATCTCCACTGTAATTCGGCTTATTTGCAGCTCCATAGTACATCCAAACGCATCCAATAAACTTTAATAATTTCGCTTATTTTTTTTTTTTTTTTTTTTTGAAAAGCGAAAAGCAGCCTCCGAGGTGCTTTTAACTTGCTTATTTTTGATTTTAATGCTTAATACCCTGTAATTATAATGTATTTAAATAACTTATAATATATTTAATAAATAGCTTAATAGTTATATTACATTAACATGTGGGCACCTTATCGCCGATAAGGTGCTTTATTGCTAATATTAGAGGAAAGAATAATGTATTTATTATTACTGTATAAAAGGACATTACACTGTTAGCTAGCCTCAGATAGATTTTTCCTTCCTTAAATATCATTAATATACCAGTTTCACCCTATTGTTATTTGCTTTACCTGTTATTGCTTTACTAGCGATTGCTTATAACTTTATGTACGTACTTACTAACATAGCTTATAGCGCATTTAATAAATAATTTATAACGTATTTAATGAGTAACTTATAACGTAATTAATATTTTAAAATTTTTTTAATATATATATATATATATTATAATTATAATTATAATATATTAATACTTTGTAAATATATTATAATAAATAATAATAATAAAATTGCAAATAACTTTACTTTTCGTAAAAATAAATATTATTAATACACATAATACTATAAACACTTAATAACTTATTGAAAATAAAGTTTATGTTAATTCGTCCAAATTATAATAAATATCCCCCCATAAGTAATACTGAATCATGTACACTTATCTACAAGGGTAGCACGAGCCATAAGCAAAGCACCGCTTATTGTCCCAAACAGCCTCTAAGGTAGGCTTCTCTCTTCGCGTAAGATTCGCAGCTTATATCCGGTTTGAGACATGATTTCTGGTTGGGGGGGACACTGCATAGTGCAGGCCTAGGTAGATAACTATTTAATTTCAATGCTGCAACAATTACTGGCAGCCTTATTGGAAAGTGCGGGAATCATCGGTCCCGAGGTGTAGCCTCGTGTACAACGTGGGGTCCATGTACCAGTTCAATATTAAACAGCTTTAGGACGCGCTAAAGGGGTATACAACAAGGGGTACCGTAGGTATGTGTCTTTTTGAGCTTACGGTTATAAGGATAAATGAAAATGGATCGGGGATATATTAAGGAATAGGGGCATTAGGTAAGGTGACACGTCCGCCTGCACGTGCTCGAGCTGGCGGATCAGGGCTAATTGATCCCCCTTTTATCCCAGAGCTTTAATATCACATGTACGTGATGAATTGATATAATTTCTCACCGTCTTTAAATATTAACCTAAGTTCTAGCTAGTTTATCTACAAGAGAACCAGAAAGTGCGTGCAACGACTTCCCCTGGCTGAGAATGTCAAGGAAAGAAACGTCTACCTTGAACGCATTCCAGAACCAGGTACGGAACTCAGACGCAATCATGCTGTCCACTCCATATTCATTCAAGGCCTTGTGATCGTCGATAAGCTCTGTAGGTAATAGGATCAAGTTGGAAAAGCACTTCTTAGCTAGTCGTAGAATAGCGACTTCTAGAGTGGGAGCATCGGCCTGTTTCTTAAGCGCTGCTAGAGCGCCTGGTGGGACACTCATCAGCCACGGAGCTACGGCCATATCTTGGAGTAGTTCGGTCGCACTGCCGTTGGTTTGCTTATCGGCTTGAAGGGCCGCAGATAAAATGGATGAACGCGGATCCTGAGTGGCGCCGTGGCTTATGTCGAAACCCTGGCTTCTCAACTGCCGAAGTCTGAGAGGTTCGAGACCAGTCAGGATATGCGAAGAAGACGAAAAAGATGATGAAGAGAAAGAGGTGGAAGTGGTAGATATGCCTTTAGCCGACATCAGAGAAAAGTCCACCATCTGCAAGAACTCCTCTTCGTTGAGAGGTTGAATTCCTCTACGTAGCAACAACGCCTCGATCTCGGGGTTCTCGTGCAAATATCCTACCTCGGACACCATGCCCAGCCCAAGGGAGATGTAAGGGCGCCCTTCTCGCCGGCCCTTCCGCGCGAACGCATCGAGAAAACTGTTTGCCGCGCAATAATTGCTCTCTGTTGCCGTACCCACGCTCCCTGATATTGATGACATGAGCATGAAGAAATCGAGTTGATCGTCGAGGCCGCGGATGGCAGAATCCAAATTCCGTGTTCCTGCCCATTTCGGTCGGACGGCCTTCTGCCAGGCCTCGCCGCTCATGCGCGAGAACAGGCTTTCGGAAAGGCCCATCGACGCTTGTATGACGCCCCCGATTGGCAAGCCCGTGTCAACGCAGCACTGTATGGCATTACCCACGTCATCGGGGAGGCACACGTCTCCGCGCACGGTGCTGACGTCGGCGCCAGCTTCTTGAAGCTGGGATACGAGCGCCTTCGCAGCTGGCCTGTCGTCGCCCGATCGACCAAGAAAGACAAAGTTGCGTGCGCCGCGCGATAATAACCAACTACTTAAGCTACGGCCGAGGCCGCCCAGGCATCCTACAAGGAGATAGACTTTCTCTGGATAAAGAATGGTGAGATACTTCGCTGGTGATACCTAGTTTTGGTTAGTCGTGTAGGTGTGGTTTGGGAAGGGGACGACCTACTGGAATGGAACTTCTTGGATCCCGTAATGAGATGACCACTTTACCCACCCTATCGCGCTTCGAAAAGTAGCGATAGGCACTTGTGATCTCCGATACATCGAAGCATTGGGTGGGAAGTGGCTTGATCTCCTTCGCGCGGAACAAGTCAAGCACCTCCCTCATTTTGCTAGGTACACAAGTCAACGAACTCCTCAATTGAAAACCGAGAATCACGCCTCTGAACTGTTACTGCTTACCTGACAAGCATCTCGCGATAGAATTGGTCCCTGTGAAAATATAACTCGCTTAGATCGAAGGCAGTGAAAGTCGCGTTCCTTAGGAAGACGGACATATCTAATTTACCGGCGTCGACAAGCTCCCGCTTGCCAACTTCGATAAAGCGGCCGAACTGAGCTAGACAATCCCAGCTGTCGTGCATAAGGTCGCCCGTAAGAGAGTTGACGATCACGTCAACTCCACGCCCTCGTGTTGCTTTTCTCACGCCGGCAACGAAATCGTTGGCATCGCGGGAGCTAAAGATATTTGAAGTTGGTAAGCCCAGATTATTAATAATCCAGTCTCTCTTCACAGACGAGCCAACCGTAGTGTAAACAGTGGCGCCAATGCGTTGGGCAATAACAATAGCTGCTATGCCAAGCGCACCTGTTCCGGAATGGATCATAATCGACTCGCCAGACCGAAGATTGGCGCGATCATTTAACGCATAGAGTGCAGTGCTATAAGCTACAGGAAGGCCCGACATGATAGTCAGGTCCTCGTCCGAATTAATCCGATGGGCCGCCCAGACAGGCACCCGTACCGTCGTGGTGAAATGGTTTGGGATGACGACAATGACTCTATCGCCGATCTTCAGCTGAGTATCTGGAACTCCGGGACCTATCGCTACTACTACTCCACCGAATTCCATGGCAGTAGTCCCCTTCTGAGTCTCTACCCGTCCGTTCAGGGCGTATACATCTTTGGCGTTCAAACTCATGACTTGCATCTCAATATCTGCGAAGCCGGAGGGTGGGTCGCTTGATGGCTCCCTTACTTGTTGGAAATGGATGGTATCCATGACACCTACCTTCCCAACAGATAGCTGAGCTGGTTTCGCTTCGTTGAGTGGAATGTTTTCGAAGCGGTCTTTCGACTGGATCCGGTTTTGAAACAGAGAATTAAAGTTGGACGCAGGTTCAAAACGGCTGGTGTAGAGCATACCGTGCAGTTGGGCATACTCCTTATCATCTGACTCGTCCGTTGGAATCAGGGTGCGAATAATGTTGTTGCATGTCAGTTGTATAGTGGGCGCTTGGAAGGCTTCGGGCCCCACGTCTAGGACAGCGAATCGCAATGAGGGTTGTTCCAGCATTAAAGCCCGTGATAGTCCACTGGAAAGAGTCAGATCAGGCTTGGAATTTTCTTCAGTTAGCATGCCAGCGCCAGTGACCCAGAGGAGATGAGTGGCTGCGTTGCTGATGTTGTGAAGGAGGTCTATCTCCGGCTGGCCCATCGTTGCTAGGTAAGGAACCTCCAGTTCGAGCAAGGAGATGAAGACTAAGTTTTGGGACGACGCTATCTGTTGGACATCGCAAATTGAAGTTATCTTCACTTCAGAATCTGCAATTGTTTGTTGAAGCTGAACTGACAGGAATGATGCAAACTCCGAGAGTGTCGTAGAAGGGTCATGAACCTATGCATAACGTAAGATAACGATGTTTTAGTTTTCAGGGGATGGATATGGGTAACAATACATACCAGAATGATAAACGTCTTGTTTCTGAGAACTTCGGTATCGGATAAACGTCTAGATAAAAGGGTCATTCTGTCAATTTCAACCAGCCACAAGCCTGCCGCTTCCAAAGATGCCCGAGCCGCAGGTGACTGGCGAGTTATGATAATACCATCATTGGCAAGAATAGATATGATTGACTTGGAACAGGATCCCCAGCACTTTTCCG